TGATTCCGACCGGGAACACCTGTGGGGATGAGAGGCCACATAGTGTGAATGGCAGGTGCAAGCTACAAGCAGCTGGTCCGGGAAGGGGTGACCGCTGGGCAGTGCGTTCATGCGTCACAACGTGAGCGGCCATTGGTACGAGGAGGGAGGGAGTGCGGTTTTGTTGCGGGGATTGTGCCAGCCATATGCTGCGCTGCAGTGCTAATCGAGAGTGCCAGCAGTGTGTTTCAGGTTGATAACATATCGTATCAGACGGCACCGCAGGATCTGCGTCGCCTGTTCGATAAGTATGGCGAGATAGGCGATATTCACATTCCGCGCGATCGCTACACCAAGCAGAGCAAGGGGTTCGGCTTTGTGCGCTACTACAACCGGCGCGATGCGGAGTACGCGATGGATCGCATGGATGGGCGCTGGGTGGACGGCCGAGAGATCCGTGTGGCAATGGCCCGCTACGAGCGCCCAATCGACGAGCGCGAGCGTAACCGCAACAGGGCCACGCGACGGTTGGTGCTCCTTTTGGCGATCGCCTCGTGTGGCTTTTCTCACTCTCTCACATTGATCGCATCATGATTCATCTCAAACAGTAATATACAGATGTGGTTTTTTGAGGCGGCCGTGTTGCTGCTGTGCTGCTGCTACTGCTGCTACTGCTACTACTACTACTACTGCTACTGCTGCTACTGCTGCTGCTACTGCTGGATGCACCGGGGGTATGTGGCCGCGGGCTGGCTGTAGCTGTGTGTGCAGTGATCCCGTTCCCGAATACTGAGCAGCAGAGTTCCCGTTCCTGAGAATGAGCAGCAGCAACCCGTTTACTGCTTTTTCAGCGATGAGCACCACGCACTGAGGCAGGCAGTGCTGGGAACTGCCTCTTTCTAACGTGTCGCTGCTGCAGCAGACAATCTCACGCAGGTATTTTCTGTTACGTTCGACGCGCGTCACTTCTCGCTGCCGGATGTGTCTCGTACATGGACGGCTGCGCTCATCCGGGGGATGCTGTCCGGATGGCCGTTGCCTGATCATGCAAATGCATGTACAGTTTGGAGGCTTGAAATTGGGAAGGCCCGCATGAACATTTGCAAGAGTTTTTTATGCGTTTTTTGCATCTATGCAATGCAGAAAATGCATATTGACGAGAGGTTGTGTGTGTGTTCATCTCTACCGATTTTGCATCTCCAGACCCACAAAAGCTACAAGACTGAAACTTTGGGGACTTAACCTACATGCTTGTACAGGCCCCACCTCCAAAATGGGTGCTCTTACCGGCGTGGTACCTACGTACGGGTCTGCCAAAGTTTTTGGTAAGTTGCTAGTTAGGAACCTGAAAAACCAGAAGCATTTTAATGGGATGTTTCTCGTCGAAGGTATAAATGAGTTCAAACCCAACCCTTGGGTGTGCGTGGTACCCACGTACGAGTCCGTGGACGTTTTCTTACGGATAAGTTGCTAACTCGGGAACCTGAAAAGCTAGAAGACTGTAAATTTGAGGAAATGTTTCCCGTCCACGTAGGTGTTATTGGGCTCAAACCTAGACACCGGTTTTGCGTGGTACCCATGCGTGGTACTCGTGAAGGTTTTTACGGGTAACTCGCTAACTCGGGAACCAGCAAAGCTACAAAGCTGGAATTTTAAGGGGGAATTTCTTGACAGTCCTGATGACCAGTCTTAATTCGTTTAGCTAGAAGCATCTGCATGAAAAACTGGTGCCGTTAGCGACAAAAACCTGCGGGGAACTGTGTAAAAAGACGCATCTTCGCACCGGCGGTCGGTGCGCTGGCCATTTATTTTTGTTGTTCTAGATAAATTTTGTTTTCGAATTTGGGCGCCTTTGGCAGCAGTGATGTTAAGCGATCTGTGTCAGTATCGTAGCCCTTTTTTGGACGTGCTTCTTTCGCCGGATTAGCGCTTAGGCTGTATGAACAACATATTTGCAAAATACATCAGTTTGGATGTAATGAGTCGAAAAGATCGATATTCGGAGCAAGTAGGATTGGTGAAGGAAGGTTAACTGGTTGCTAGTGCAGCTTTTCAGGAAGTGCCAGCGTTTCTCTCCTACACAAAATTTAAATTTCGAGTAGAATGTGTGATAAAAAGGCGTAATAGGTGCTTGCCGAAAAAAAAAGATGAAAGCCTAGCGGAAATACAAATTAATCAGTCGTGAAATTTGCTCTTCGTCACCTGGGGTGGGGGCATATTCCTCGAGTACCAGCACCGAGACTAGCAAGTATTGTGAAGACGCTAACAGTGTTGGAGTCATGCTGTTTTCAAGGGGTTCTTTGAGGTTGTTAACTCGAGGGATTTGTTTGAGTAGCAGTTGTTGGAAGGAAGGAGCGGTTCGCATTGCTTGATATTGAGTTAGATATCGGACAGATACTCTTTTTTTT